GGACATTGTGCAGCGAATTAAAATACAACGGCTCCGCTGGCTTGGCCATGTCGTTCGAATGGACACCGACGCTCCAGCTCTGAAAGTATTCAACTCGGAACCCGCTGGTGGTAGCAGAGGAAGAGGGTGGCCCCCACTGCGATGGAAAGATCAGGTGGAGAAGGACTTGTCTTCAGTTGGCGTTTCCAATTGGCGTGAGTTGGCACAGAAGAGAAACGACTAGCGTGCTTTGCTGAACTCGGCCAAAATCGCTTAGGCGATTACAGCGCCAAATAAGAAGAAGAAATACTACATATTTGTAGATTTAGTTCTTGTTGTTAATTTGGTCGGAGCTTTTACTCTTCGTTTATTTATTTATTATTAAATTAGTCAAGCCACTACAATGGTAGTAAATATTAAAATGAAAACTTAATGTTGTATACAATTAGTTTACATACATACACATGTACATACAACAAAATTAAATAACAAATACAGGACTTATTCATATAAACTAAAACAAAATTTAATATCAGTGTTAACAAAGTTATAATCAGCTGCTCTGCAGAATAAGATTCACGGGGCGCTACTGGATTCGCTTCGCCAGTATTGCGGGCAATGACATTTCCTTAGTGGTCGCGAGTGCGTATATGTATATATGAGCAAATCTCACAGGTCCTCTTTGTTTTTTAGTGACACTCCCTTCTCTCGGCAAAAAAAGTTAAAGCATTATTCTTGAATTTATTTCAATCAACGGAGTTGCAGAAACAAATAAATTGAAAACTACGTAAAATATTTGAAAAATTTTACCCTTAAAACGTTTATTTAGGCGAAAACGTACCGAAATTACTAATATTTTCATTTTCACTCACAGAAAAAATCATAATTGTTTTTTTTTTTTTAAAAACTTCGGTAAGTTTTCCAATAAAATCAAATACCACATATCTGTGCAGTTTCAAGAGGGCACTACGAAATTTAAGAAAATGGCGGCATGCAGAATATCTGTCGCAGCTATTTTGCAGTTTTTGAAATCTTACAGTGTTTTATTTTTTTATTTTAATAATTTAAGTTACTTCAAAATGTTAAGATTAAACGATGAAAATGTTTTTCTTTTTAAAGCAAAGGAATCTAGTGTAATAAGACTATTGTGCCACCAAATGAAAAAAAAAAAAATTACTATGATTTGAGAAACTAAAAATCCATTTTTTTAATTTTTATTGGTGCACTCGAAATTCAATCTAAAATTGTTACATATTTTTATTATTGGTTATTTTTACTTTTTTTTTAGTATATCTTTTTTAAGTTTTCATTTAAACACAATTTCGCGATGGAATCTTGTTCTTTATACAAAACTGAAGATAATGCATTTTCCCAGATGGGTGACCTACCATTTTCGACCGAAAACAGGTTTTTGTCGAAAAATGTAACAACTCGTGGGATTCGCTCATATATATTCGAAAATTGCCCGGCTGCAGGAGGTGTCCAATTGAAGTGCTTAAGCAGAAATACTACAGGTACAATCGGGTATATATGCAAGTAATGCCAATTTTCAGCTTTCATTTCACATAGTTTTCTGTTCCTGTTAATTGATAGAAGGTTGATTGGTGTGAAGGTGCTTGGATAACTGCAACATAGTAAAATAAATGATTGCGTTTAATTTAATTTAAATTTTGTATACATTTTGTCATTCAAATGTACATATCGCACACCGTCTTCAAAAGAGTCACAACTCAAAATTTGAAATTTTTGAAATTATGCGCTAAAATTGTGCACAAAGCTTTATTTACCTTTCAGCAACAGCTGGAGCAAATTTTTGTTATAATTTGTTAAAAAAAAACCGAAGGTAAAGTCGTCCTTGCCCATTGATTAGCGTGCGCTACGAAATAGTTTTCGCATTTTCTGACGAACATATTATTTAGAGTTGTGACTCTTTTGAAGACGGTGTGCGATATGTATATACCGAGTTCTGCAGAAAAGAGAACAAATGGTTTCAATGCCACCAAAAATGCATTTTTACATTTTATACGTAATACTGAAACCCCGTGTCTAAAGGCAGAGAAGCAATGCAGAGGTTCGAGCCGTTGAACCGAACCAAGCAAATATTTTATATTGTTCACGTCCCTGGTTGAAACTGCCAGCATAAAATCCATTTCATGTACTAAATTCTTTTATTACGGAATTTAGTGGAGATCGGTAACGTGGTTTTCGAAATACACACTCAATTTCCAAAAAATTTACCAAAAAAAAAACATTTTTATGCTAAAGAGACATTGTGAATATCAATTTTAACTAAATATCAAAGAATTCTTCAGCCACACTATGCAAGAGATCGGAAAATCCAGTACATACACATACATATATAAAATGAAGCAGTACTTAATTAAAAAGTAATTTTTATCCGAATTCCTAAATTAGAGAATCAGCAAAGAAGAAAAAAATTAAGAAAAATAAAATTTTGTTCAAATTTACGCGATGAACATCCCTACAGTCTATTGCCGGGTTCACTAGCAATTGAAGTGAAAAATAACTTTGGCCATTTGTCAGTTTTCATTAATTATAATAAAATCAAATAAAAATATAATTTTTCACTTAAATAGCCTTCGTGAAATTTGCTGTAGTAAGTTCAACAACAAATATTTTAAAGGCCTATAAATTCTCTGTTGAAAACATATTGGATTTTTAGAATACGACTGACAAATAGTCAACCTATTACAAGGCAAGTGCGTCAAGAACGAAGCTTGAATGTTTTTTTTTTTTTAATTAAAAAAATGGAGGGCTGAGGAACTATAAGAAATATATTATTATGATGTTTCGGGTGTATTCCGTTTTTTCTGTTTTGTCGTATTGTATCATCTACATATATATTTTTATTATGACGGTCATGTATGTATATATGTATGTATGTACATTTATAGCCATACACACATAGTACATACATACATAAGAACCACTTTCGGGCCGTCCAGCATGCTTAAACATCAATGAGCATTTTGTTTCTGTTTAGTCGTTATTAGACTATTTTAAGACTGTTTTCTACTTGACGTACAGACGTACATACGTACATATATATATATATATATATATGTATTCATATGTACACAAGTAAATAAATAAAGAGCAACAATAAATGTAAACAATTGAGATTTTTCTGAAATTTTTTTACTCAATTTTATCAGGGAACCGAAAAGTAAGAAACATTAAGTGAAACTGCTTACATACATACATACATATAACTACCTATATACATATGTATGGATATACAATTCTACATTCATATACATATGTACATATATTAATTTATACATGCAAAGAAAAATGAACGTATTGAAATGGATTTCATTCAATTATTTTTTAGCGCTTGCTCGCCACTTGGCTTCTTTAGCGAACTGGGCAAAATATTGCTCTGACAATAAAACTTATGCAGATCTGCCAGATCGCAAACAAAATATTTACAAATGCGCAAAATGTGCTCCTTTCTCTAGTCGCTATGTTAAAATTGAAAATTCAACAAAGCGTAAATGGATATGTTTTCGTTTTTTTTCACTTCATTTCCATATGTGTACATACACATATATATATATTTTAAATTTAATAAATCAAGATACATAGGATGTATCTATGTGCACATGTATGTATACGTACATATGTGTGTACATAAATGAACTTACGAATATTTAAATCGTATACCTAACTAACTATGTATGTACATATAAGAATACAAATATGGAAATGCGTTTGTAGGAGTAGCCGAAGGCAACGAAGCAATTGCTAAGTGGAATAAAAAAAAAAAACAGTTTTTTTCAAACAACCCAGAATACTTGAATATTGAACATTTGAAATTATACATCCCATTTAGCAATTATATTTCACTGCAAAACATATATATGTATGTATGTATATGAATACTTATACATATATGGAAATATACAGTAAAACTTCTCTATAACGAATTCCCCAAAAAAAACCGAAAATGACTTCGTTATACACATACACTGCCGGAACAAAGTATTGGCACAGCAAATTTTTCACAATATGTGCAACCATTTTCATTCTAATATTTCTATTAGAATATTTCGTATAAAAATATGGTTCATTCAACAACAAAAAACATAAAAATATATTGCTTCCTAAACTTTGTGCAAAACTCTTGAAAATTCAGCAAATTTTCATCAAAATTTTTAATCAGTTTTTTTTAATTTTTTTGAGTATGCAGTTTTGCAGCTCATTAAATTCTAGTAAAAAAATGCGAGTTCAGAGTTGCGTTGATTTGTGAGAATTTTTTTTTTGTGAAGGTCTTATGCATTTTTTCCATATAAAATATTTTCGAAAAAAATTTTTTGTAAGGAAGAGACTGCGTGAAAAAGAATTGCCAAAAATCGACGGTAATTCCTAGCTACCTATAACTTGCACTTTATAATAATTAATATAATAAAATTGATTGGGCTACAAATATGCATACTCAAAAAAATTCCAAAAAATCTGATTAAAAAGTTGAAAATTTGCATGAAAATTTGCTGAATTTTCGCGAGTTTTGCACAAAGTTTAGGAATTACATTTTTATGTTTTTTTTTTTGTTGTAGAATGAACGTTATTTTTATACGAAATTAGCGTAAAAATATTAGAATGAAAATTGTTTCATATGTTGTGAAAAATTTGCTGTGCCAATACTTTTTTCCGGCAGTGTATGTACATATAGAGAATTCCTTATATAATTAGAAATAATCAATAAAATTATAGTTAAAAAAACTAAAACCTCGCTATTATAATTTCCATTCGTATTGTCATCAGGTATTTAACGGGAGGTAAAAAGAACTAAATTCTTCCATTTTTCCTATTCAACAAAAGTCTGTAATACATTGAGAGAGGCAAATACGTATGTACAGTGTTTGAAACGTGGTTTTTCATTTTGAACGCTGCTTGCGTTTAAAACTTGATGGCAAACTACTGGTAGGAGTCCCAAATTACTGATCTACAGCCCGATTCACTTGAATAGGTACACATATTTTCCTCAATATCCAAGCTTATTTATGGACTTATGGACATTAGAAAAGTTTATTTTTGATCTCCTTTTGAAAAACGATTGATTTTGAAGAAAAGTGGTGAAAATGAAGAAAACACCTTGATTACTTTGGAGTTTATTCCACATTATTTTTAAACTGCTTGAATATGCTAGCAAAATTACGCACCAATTCGCACTACAGGAGCTAGGGATGCAAATTTTGGGGAGTAACATCGATACATCGATGTTTCGATGCATCGGAAAAATGAATATCGGTGCTAAAATACATCGCCAGAAAAACATCGATATATCGATTGTTTGCGATGTTTCGAAATTTGTTAGGAAAATTTAATACTTTTCAATTCCAACTCTATGTAATTCAATTATTGCCTTTATTCATTTACAATTCATTCCCAATAATTAGAATAGAAATGCATGCCGTCGTAAGTTCGCTGAGCCTAAAGTTCCAAGGCCCAATTTCGTTGAAATTTCAACCGGATCCCGGTCCCTTTTTAATGACTTAGTATGCATTTTTAATATCAAAAGATAAGAGTAAACTCCGAATTTCTGAATGTTCCTTTTAAAAGAATAAATATTAAAATTCATGGCCAGTCAAAAAATTTTAGGAGCATAATTCGATGTTAAAACATCACTGAAACTGGCATCGATATATCGTCTATTTAGCGTTTTTAGGAAATTGTAAACATCGATGGCAAACATCGAATTTCGAACCGATATTATCGATGTTTCCAAAATATCGATGCATCGTTTGCATCCCTGTCAGGAGCTGTGTAACAACGAGGATAACGAAGCAAAGTCGTAATTTTTTTGAAGTCGTCCTATTCACAGGACCTAAACTTAATGGAAAATATTTAGAATTTGATGTTTTGCAAAGCTGGCGTGTCAGATAATCCATGTGATTATTGGCAGTTGCTTTTTTCCGGCGATTAAAGTGGTAAGCAGTGATATATTCTTGTTTTTTCAAAGCGCCCCTAGAACTGTTTTCCGGATAGTGGTTTTTCCCATACATTGGAATTAAGGATGTAGTATCCAATTCTAAAAGTGTTATATAGTAGAATTAAAATGAATGCTTTTGTTGGTTTAATCTAGTCCTTTCCTTGTGTTAAACCCACTGTACCTATTCAAGTGAATCAAAATAATAATCATAATTTTCGTGTAGTTTGATAAAAAGTGGAATCAAATCCAAAGTAATCAAGGTGTTTTCTTAATTTTCACCACTTTTCTCCAAAGTTGATCATTCTTTAAAAAGAGATCAAAACGAAACTTCTGCGATGCGCACAAGTGCAGATATGACCTTGGAACTTGAGGAAAATATGGGTACCTATTAAAATGGTTCGGGCTGTATGTCTTCTTTTGGAACTTTTCCTTTTTCGGGGACTTTCAAGGCCTATAGCTTTTTTTTACAGAGAATTGGTTATACGCTACCCATTTCTTGACTGATTATTGCGGTCTACAAAAGTAATCTAATAGATGCTGCCAAAAATGTGGGCGATGGCAATTACCAATTATAATTGTAATTTTTTAAAATTTCATATACATACAGTATTCTTTTCTTGGTAAAAAAAACACATATCGATGGTCCTTGACAATACCGACACAATTCAAAATTCAAAAAATAAAAACTTTTACTAAGCCATAAGGTGAAAAAAACATTAAAAGCTGAACGAAAAAGAAACCTTCTTAAGCTTGGTTCGCAATAGAGGAGACCTCATTATTCAGGAGTTCATTATAGAGAAGTTTGACTGTTTGTAGTTTTCTTGTAACCAAAGAGCTTTGCATACATACATATTCATATAAATGTCTACTCGCAAATCTTTTTGAATGATTTTGTGAAAAAAAGCTCGGCACGTTTCGAAAACTAGCGTAGCATCTTAATTTATTGATAAAGATGGAGTTTGTACCTATCAAAAACCGTTCTCAGTCGGCAAGAAAACAGCTCTTTCAAAAAAGGGTGAGGAATCCAGTACGGAAGGAATATTACTTCAAAATTCTGAATTCCTTTATAAATATACCAACAGAAAATTTACTGGCTTCTAGCTAACGGCCAAATACAGCAGTATTTTCATATTTGGAACTTGGACATCTGCTGAACTCTTCTCCGTGTTACAAAATCAACAACACTGCACAAACTTTTTACGGGACCGAGAATAGTTCGCAGGCCTAGTCGAGTGAACAACCTGAAGTTTTCATTAAAATAAACACTTTTTGGCTCAGTTATTTTTTTTAGGTAATTTCGAATTTAAATAAAATTTAGAAAGAACGTCAACCAGTCAAGGGTTAAAATCACCTACATTCCTTAACCGAATTAGAGCATCCACACACCTATGCGATTCTGTCGCAACGAGTCCGCACCGTTTTTTAATGCTACAGACGTTACTGCTTCGAAAACACAAGTACGCACACATCTGTGCGATTTTATCGCAGCAAAAACTGTCAATTTATAGACAAACAAAAAGTATTTTTCAACAAAAATAAAAATCTTAACTTTTCTACATCAAATATGTTTTGTTTTCTTACGTTCAATTTTCCTTTTAATATTGTAAAATCCTTCTATTGACCTATTTCGTTCTCAAAACGCGTCAGTCTGCGATTTCGGAACGACCCAAGGAAGAACTGTGAATGTTCAAATAAATCGCTGCAGCAAAATCGCATAAGTGTGTGGTTCCTCATTTAAAACTATGGTCGGCATTGTTTTAATTTTTGTCGGAACAGATTCACACCGACTGAATCGCATGCGGTGCGTGGATACTTTTAAGGTATTCTTTTTTTGTTAAAAATATACAGTTGTGAAAATTGTATTACTCACACCTACGGTGACCATCCGTTCTGTTTGTTTACAGGACCGTACTGTTATTTAAAGGTCTGTCCTGCGTAGTTTTTCAAAACAGAAAACCCCCAAAATGTACTGATTTTTTCCAAGTGTCCTGCCTTTGTCCTGCATTTTCCTCGATATTTTAAAATTAACTTTTCCTAATCGAAATAAAAGCAGTGTTGATAACTGATTGTAACTACATAAAGTTTCAAAGGTTCAACTAGTCAGTGCGTTCTAAATATTGTACGGTTATGGACAATGGATGACGAGAAATTGAAGACCAGCATCAAATATATCGATAACACTGTTCTACAAATTTTGTGGTAATCGCTTAAGAAAAAAAATATTTTCCAAGCCAATTTTCCTTTCAAACAAGCGTTTTCGTAATTTTTTCGAAAAACGTGTTTTTGGTACATTTCGAACCTATTCGTCAATATCTCATGAAAAAATTATCCAATCAACATAAGCGACCTACAGTTCTCTTACAAACATATATTACTTTGCCGATTTCGATGAAAATTATTAGTCTTACAAGCGACCAAAATCGAAAAATTGAAATTTCAATCATTTTCTTTTTACAGTAAATGAAAATCTGATGAGAAATGTAGATGTTACGGAACACAAACTGCACAAAAAATATATATTTTTACAAAGAGCCCATCAATACCTTTCGAACTGTTGGTCGTTTCATGAGATTTGAGGAATAACTGAAAAAGTACTAAAAATACGTTTTTCGAACGAATCTCGAAAACACTTTTTTGAAATCATGGGTATTTTTTTCGTGTTCAACGACCCAAAGTTTGCCTAAAAAATTTGCTTTACAGAGGTTCGTATTTCGTGTAAAGTAATATGTAATATGCCTTATTATAATTTTGTAAACATTCATTACTAAATGCTTAATACCAATGAAGCAAATGTGATTTATGTTTAAAGTTTAAAATTAGATTAATAATTAAGAAATATACACTCTTCGTTATTTGAATAGCGCATCCTTTTAATACTTAGTAGGTACAGTTTTCCTTTTGTTTGTTTAATATTCATTAACTTTTTATAAAAATATAGCATATTCTACGTCTACGTCCCATTTAAAATTTGTTTGAAAATTAAAAAAAGACAATTTTTTTTGTTGACGGTGCTGCGCATTTTCTTCCATATAGAAATTTTGTCAAGCATACTTTGTATGTTAGAAAGTCAAGCAAAGGGTGCACTATTCAAATGACGAGGAATGTATATATGTAGTATATTTTTGTTATTTTTATACTACGCAGTTATATGTAGGTAAATTTTTTTAAAAATTGTCCTGCATTTTCAAAATATATTTATGGTCACCGTACTCATACCGCTACGAGGCGCCGGTTGATGCTTTCAAAATACCCATCCTAAACCGCCAACTAATTTGAAAGTTTTTTGTAAAACTTTAAATAAAAACGGTGATGTACAGTAATTAAAACTTTTGTTAACGCAAAGCAACAAAAGCTTTTGAGGTAAGTTTTTGTAAACTTTTTTTCTAAACAAATCCATGTTTTGTTTTTATTTCAAATCTATGCAAATGCAACTGAGCTAATGAAAATAAATGAATTTTTAGTCAGGCACGGTCATTAATAGACGGTGCTTATAACTGGAATTTTTTCAAAACTAATTGATACTAGGAAGAAAAAGCAGCCCGTTCATCTTATCGGACTCTAAAGAATCTCCCACTGGGCAGGTGACCAGGTGGCTGTTATTCAATTTTTAGATCTATTATTAAATATGGTTTTGATTACGTAATGTACATATGTGTGTGTGTTTGTGTATGTAGTACATACATACATACATATTTATGCACTATTTCCAAAGCTATTTTCAAAGGGATTGGCCTTAACACTCCCATGTAATATGTATCAATAAAATGAATTTTGCTTGCTGACATGCATTTGCACGTGATACTTTTGCAAATGTTGCCTGCCACAACATCATCATCAATAAAAAAAAAAAACAGAAATAAAATAAAATAAAATGCATACATATTTTCTAAATCGTGCCCTTGCTAGCCAAACATATTACACATATGTACAAATGAATGATATCCACGAACAAAAAATCTCTTACTTTTCTTATAGGAGAAAGGGAACTCTTTTCTTACGTGGTCAGTTATCCAAGTGTGCGCTCTGTTCTGCACCCTTCTACCATCAGAGCACAAAATTACGTTCCTTTTCCGTCGGTAGTGTTTTATTGGCGAACGAAACGATGGCCGAAGCTGGCTGATGAGTATCCAAATCACAAAATACATGGCATTGATTGTCCTTCGATTTTGGCGAATTACGCGCCACAAAAGCAAATATGGTCTTCTTTAGCGCTCCAACGGCGGTGGTATTCTTCGCACTGCCGTCTTCTTCCGTCAACTGGATTTCCCAGAGCCGATGATCTGGATCTATGGCACAAAATGATATGCTATCGCCGGGGTAGTGTTTTCGGAAAAATTTCTTTCGCGTATTGTCGGTGAGAGTGATTCCCTGTTGAGTGACCTTGAAGTGCACCTCGGTTGGGATGGGCAACGGTTGTTGTGCGTACAGCTGACGTATGGCTTTGCGGATAGCCTCCTCGCCAGTCAGAGACTCCGTTTCACTTGAGAATAGCCACAGCACATTGCAGGCGGCACCTTGCGTCAGTAACTGTTTCTGTGCGCTTGTCGGCTCAATTAGCGATGGCACCAAATCGTGGTCGGGTATACGTAGCAAACATGGCAAAGCCAATTTGTTGATTGAATGTTCATAGATGAGCGCCGAAAGCGATGTAAAGACCGGCTCATTGGCACAACTCTTCAATCTGACTCCATGGTTTGTGGGCTCAATGAGAAAGTGGCGGACTAAATCGTCGGGTTGGCCAGTGAGCTCGCTGTTTGGAGGTGGTTGGTGTACGCGCACTACCAAACCGTAGTTATCCTTGTACGTTGTGGAATTTCGGACAATAAATGTGCCCGGTTCAGCGTGTAGTAGCAATTGAACGGCTTCTTCACGCGACAAATTCGGTTTGTACCAGTATTTGGACGAGTCTTTGGCAAATTTGACCAGATGTGCAGCGACCTCCTGGGGTTCACTATTCACCATTGACATATTGGAATCGAGACGTGGCCGGCAACTTGTGCGGTAAATGGTCTCCGAGGAGAAGTTGTGCAAGTCAAGCATTGACTTTCCATTTGGCAAGTCCGGGCGCTGTGGAACCGGGCTGTGCGAATAAGCTATGGGGCTGTTTTGACCATTATATCCACCATATGGCGTGCGTGGCGTAACGGGAAACGCAGGCGTCTCGGGGCGTGCGACGTGTAATGGCGAAGGTGAAATCTTGCCAGCCTCTACCGCATTCGCAGTCGCTGCCACAGTTGACGCTGGCCCAACTGGCAACGACAACGATGCCGCCATCGGGTGATCCGTAACTGACAATGCTGGCTCGATTGAGTTACGACTGTGATATGTGCTCGTCGCAGCGGTGACTTGCTTACTCGTCGTGGCATAAATGGGCGATGACAAGTCATTGCGGCTGCGTGCAACAACGGCAGCCCCCAATGAGCTTCGATTATTTGTTNTGTTTTGACCATTATATCCACCATATGGCGTGCGTGGCGTAACGGGAAACGCAGGCGTCTCGGGGCGTGCGACGTGTAATGGCGAAGGTGAAATCTTGCCAGCCTCTACCGCATTCGCAGTCGCTGCCACAGTTGACGCTGGCCCAACTGGCAACGACAACGATGCCGCCATCGGGTGATCCGTAACTGACAATGCTGGCTCGATTGAGTTACGACTGTGATATGTGCTCGTCGCAGCGGTGACTTGCTTACTCGTCGTGGCATAAATGGGCGATGACAAGTCATTGCGGCTGCGTGCAACAACGGCAGCCCCCAATGAGCTTCGATTATTTGTTGCATACTCGTGGCTGCTGTCAATGCCATAACCAGCTGCATTTCCATTTCCATATCTGGAGTACTCCAGTCGACGCTCTTGCTGCGATTGTGTTGGAGACGGTGATGGTGAATATTGCCTCCGCGACGGTTGCACTACACGCTTCTCCACTGTACTGTAAAGCGATTCGAGTTGCTGTTGCTGTTGGCTCTGCGGTTGCGGTCGCGATTGCTGTTGCAGTATTCGCGATTGTTGCTGGGAAGCTGCGAACGGCCCGCTTGCCTCTCGGCAGGCATTCGAGGAGCTAATTGTGTGATAATTACGTTCCACATACGTTGAATTGCTGGTCGGCATAGCGACCTCGCGCGCAACTGGAATATCGCGAGTGCGATATTGCTGCAGCTGTTGCAGAGACGTTCGATCCATGGTGTGGGCGCGACGTGGGGGCGGAGGCGCATCATCTAAATTCAAATGAAATTCAAAATCGTAGTTGAATTTTCGAG